TACTAGAAAGTTCACTAAAGTCACAACAATCTGGTATATAGTACAGTTAGTGAATTGCCAACACAAAAAGCATATATGAGTTTAAAGTAGCCAAAAAAAAACAAGTCAAGCGCACACACACACACACACACCCCCCCCCCCCACCCCCCCCCACACACACACACACCCACACTCTCTCCTGCAGGGAGCCTATCTGTTTTCAATGTGATTGTACTCTCTGGGGCAAAATTATTTGACTGAGACAAGTAACGTCAGATTACTAACGTTCTGGTCCAATGAATCTCGCCATTAGCAGCGGGTATGTTTAATAGGATGACAGTTCGTCTGAAGGACAGGTGTTCCCCTTAAAAGTTGATGGTATTTCTGTTAACTGTCATTTTGTTAAAAGATGAGCTTTTTGAAAATGTGTGGGTAGTTAACTACTGTGATAACAAAGACGTATTTGACAGGTCATTCTCGGTAATACCACGTCTACCCGTGCACTTGCAAATTTCCTACTTTATAAAGACCGCTAGACGACAAGCTGCATGTACTCTGTCATAGAGATTTACGTAAGCATAGCCATAGCCTTCTCACCTCTCTTAACTGTTCATATTATTAAATAATTTAATTATTTTCTGTATATGTAGATTACTATACATTTACACAATTTATTTTGCTCACTGGATAGTCGGTTGTTTGTGTGGTTACACGAATAATATCTCATCCAAATATTTTTACTTCTGACGTCTCTAGTAATGCAAACCAGTGAAAAGTAAAGTAGTTTCCCATAAAAATATACCATGTACAATACAAAAGATAAAATAAATAAATTTTTCTACTATTTAGGATAACGTTTCATAGATTTATAGAAACTTATTTTTTACGTCAACATTTAGTCTGGCTGTCGGCGCATTGGTTGGGTTTCAGCTCTTTTAGCTGAAAGGTTAAAGCTTTGAACGTGCATTAGTGCATTTCGCTTCTGTCCCTGGGCAAGGCGCCGTTGCTAAGTTTTTTCTTTTTTGATGTTGTTTTCTTAAAATATATAGTGGAAGTCATACCCTGTGCTTTTGCTTGAGGAAAGGTTGGTACATAAAATTGGGCTTATACCCGAGATGGGCTTGTACCTGAGGAACAACAGTATTTTCTCATTAAGTTAGTTTGATATGCATAATTTTTATCTACTGTACATGTATGCATCTTTGTATGTTAATTAGCTGATCACATGACCTATTCACGTGACCTCCCATAATCCTTGGCATTCAGATAGTAGATAAATATTCATTCTGTTAAAATTATTTAGTAGATTTTTGAATGCACACTGAATTATTATAGTATTAACATATGTGAATTGACATTTACCTAACATTGCTTAAATAATATTTAAATTAAACATTATTTTAATACCAGTACAACTTGAAACAAAAACAGTACAGTATTGAATTATTAAATGAATTTAGTATATACAATTTCAAATTGTCTTCCATATTTTCAATTTTTCCCCCATAATTTTCACCCTTAAAGGAATTAATTCTGATTTTTTCCAGTAAAATTCTGCTCTTAATTGAAAAGACTTTTAAGTTGTCTGAAATGCTAGTGATTGGCACAATTGTTGTGGCTCAGACTCCACTGTTATCAATTCCAATTTAAGCCCTATCAAATTTTGCCTTTTAACACGTTGGCTGCCAGCGACGAGTATACTCGCTCACAGTGTGTTGCTGAGGGCGCCAGGGACGAGGATACTCGTCAAAATCGGGGTAACATTCTAGCATTTATAACTTCTTTGTTATACATTGAGGAACCACAGACTAAACGGCTGGTAGTTCGGGGAAGATACACCTAGACGATAACGTACATATGACATATGTATGTTTGTTGTGTTATGTTGCCGGTAGTACACTCGAGCGGCACAAGTGGGGGGCGCCCTTTGAACATATACTAACCAATGCAAAAAGCGGACGAGATAACTCGCACTTGGCATAGTCAATAAAACGTTCTATCACAGTGCCGTCGACGAGTATACTCGCCTCCTAATATTTTCCCGCCAATCTATTAAACACATCATTTTGATGACGTATGACTAGATAACATTTCAAAAAAGTATGTTTGTACATGTAAACTTGTTTTGGCACACAGGAAGGAACCTTAAAAATAGGTCTGGCAGTCAACGTGTTAAAGAGTTTTAATTGTCCAAATATGTTTAGGAAAACTCAGACAATTAGAAAATACAATGATGATGCAATATCCAATTATATTGCAGTATACCAATCAAATTGATAGACAATACCACTTTCTCAATATAATTATTTCAGCTTTCATAATTTTTAAATTTTCTATTTTAAAGTTAATTTTCAATCATATGGTACCTTGATGGTGTTGTGCTTATTCTGAATATGGCATAAACTGAAATTCCAATTAAACTAAAGATAATGATGGCAATAAACTGGATCTTTAACAATTGCCTAGGCATACAGCATACATATTTTAATGGCAGAGTGTACTCAAGAGACTGTTTCCCAGCATCAGGAATCGATAAATGGGTGCCATTATATGTACGTAACTGTTTTGTCCATGTGACGTTAGTATTAAATATAATTATTATAAAATAATAAAAATAAATGCTATATGTTCTACATTTGTGGGGATTTTATTCCAATAAATGCTAGTGGCACTGTTGAGAAATTGTCCAAAGTTTTATCAACGTTTCTCATCAACCAGGAGTGTGACTGGCTACCTATGAGGTTTTCTTTGCCAATGTGCTAATCATGCAGCAAATAATGGAATACTCCACACCTCCCCAATTTTTTCAATAGTCACTGTTTCTATGACTGAAGTAATAACGTGAAGTACTCTTGGAGAGCTCTATATAAATACTGTACCCTCATGTTTCTATTAAATATAGACATGTTATTGTTACTATTAAATATCAACATATTAATATAGAAATGCATTGCTAAATCTCCAATCCTCCATGCCAGCAGACTAATAAATGCAGTGGTCTGAAAAAACACTTAAAATCTCACTTGTTCTAAAAATAAATTTCTTTCCTACTAGAGACTTTCCAAAAGCCTTGTACAGTATACAATAGTAATCTGTCTGAAAATAAATCTGCCTGAAAATGGGCAGATAGACAATTCTATATTTAGAATCAATTTATAAAATTATCATTTTGCATAATTATTCTTCAATTTATTTCCAGTTGTAAGGATTAAAATTGTCAGCCATGGAAAAATATATCCTTGAAAATCTTCAATACCTTTTGCCATAATATCAATTAAATATCTTGGTACCAGCCTATTCATTGGTTAATTAAAACATCTAATCTCATCGTTGACTGTTACTCTGCGTTTAACCGTGGCAGTACTGTATTGCTTAATTTAGAATTATACCGTCATTGCTAAACTAAAGTCCTACTTGGTTTGGACTTTCTGGCCAAAATAACCATGTACCTGTCGAGGGCGTAGGCTGGTTTTGGCCCAGGGGTGCAAAAAATGAAAATGTGGAACTAAATCATAATAAAAACTTAATGGTCATTTTTTGAATTTTATTAACCCACTTAGTGGAACTAATTCGCTGCCATGGCAAGCCTGCAACCAGGGAGGTTAGAGGGATTCAAAAGAACCCCACTTTTCCAGAAATGCCCTCAAAAATCATTAGTAAAAAGTGCCTTTTTGTTTTGCATGGAGGTGGTTGAAATTAACTCCAAACATTTAAAATTTAAAATTTTTTATGAATTGCAGTGCTATTTCTGGATATCTGAGGTGTTTTATCCGTAAAATCTTCCCAAACCATGTTAAGGAGGAGGGGAGTGTGGACTGAAAGTGCCCTTTTGTGAAAAATTAAAACCCCTTTAAAATTTCCTGCCTACGGCCTTGCATGGGAGGGGGAAGTAGTGAATCTGAACCTTTAGTCTATGATGCCCAAGCCGGTTTAGTTGTGACACAAATAACATCTAATGCAGAAAAAGCCTCCTTGACATTTGAATGGTCACTAGTGCAGAAACCTTAAACTGAGCAAACATTGCCCAGGAAGAATAACCAGGTTATTCTTCCTGTTTGGAGAAGTTTAATGCGAACATGTCACATTGCTATTTCCCTGTGCTACAGTGCTTGACGGAGTGTTTTCAACTTGGAACGTGCATTAGGCCTGAACAGTTATTGTTCACTAACATGACCAATCCAACAATTAAAAAAATCAATGGTCAGTTTTTTTTATTATTGCTAAAATATCGGGGGCGAGTCGAGTAGGCGAGCGGTAAGGCAGGGGGCGTTGCTAGCTACAGACTTAACATCAGCGCTGGTTCCAGCCGCTTCTTGCCCATGGTTCTGTTGGTAGAACTAAATCTTCACGGATAAGGACTTAAAATGGAATGTCCAATGCATACGTCTTGCTTATGTGCACTTTAAAGAACCTATTGCATCTTTCGGAAGAGTTGGGGGTTACCCCAATTTTATGGCTCATTTCAGCCCCTGTTGTTGTGAAATGATGCGAACATGTAGGTACTACTGTATGAAGCGCATCTTGATGGCTGCTTGGTAGTAATAGACCGCGCCCATTCAAAATTCAGCTCAATGACGCGGCAAGTTATGGGTTATTTTCCTACCTTTACCTTTATATATTTCACCAAGAGCGCAAAATATTGGTGCAAAATCTCTCAATATATACATACAGTACTCTTATAATTCAGAGATTTTTACCACATACCATGTAAATTTAACACTTTTCCTATCCTCCAGTAATAGACCAATCCATTACAGTGGTTATTATCCCTCTTCAGATGCCATAGATGTAGATCTATGGTGGGTGATTCTTGCGTATCATCTGCTAAAAATGTAAATATTGGAATGATAGGGACGTACAGTATTTTATTTTCATCGTAGTACTTTGCACCACTGAACATGGACATAAAATGCACTCAGGAGAAGGGTCCCTAGAAATGATAGTTCCAAGAGAGAGAGTGCCCTTTTCTAATTGGATTTTTTTTTCTCCTGGAATTATCGCATTTCTTCCTTTTTTCGTAGGTGTCGATTGTTACCGTAGTTGTTACTGTAAGCACAACTACAATGCCATCTGCAGCTAGAGTCGAGTCGATGCGAAACATGGTTACCTCGGCGAGGGCGAGCACTCAGGTAGGTCTATCACTTATATAAAAAATGAACTCAACTATTTTATTTAAGGTATTGTTCATTGATAACTATTAACCAATAACAATGAAGCTTATGCTTATAAGGCCAAGTTGAAATAATAAATTGTTACTCATCTAGGGTTTTGAATGAGAAGAGAATGAGGTTGTTTATTGCTTTCTTTATCTTTATTGTTTATTAGGATGTTTTGATTTCTGCAGCATTTTCTGTTTCTCCTCCTCTGTGTCCCTCCTCCCCTCCTCCCATTTTTTGGTCTTATTTTCTCAAATAAAGTACTTTACTTATTGTCTTATTTATAAATATAATTATTCATTACTGTGTATTTGTAGTGGGATTTGTATATTTGTAAACTGTATATATATATGCCAAAACTATCATAAAAAAAATAAATTTTATTTGTGAAATTATATATTATATATTTATGCCCATACTATCATAAAAAATAGAATTTAAAAAATCATTATATCTTATAAATTATTTGTTAAATTATTTATTTAATAATATTATAATAATAATAAACATTTATATAGCGCCAATTCAAAAATTTATCAAAGGCACAGGAGAAAACAAACTCAGTAACATTTCTCAAAAAGGTGAAACTTTAAGTTCTTCTTAAAAGAATATAAAATGAACAGAAAGAGGAAGAGAATTCCACAGAGAAGGAGCTTGAACAGAAAAAGCATGTTGACCATATGTTTTGGTTTTGTTTCGAGGAGATCGAACTGTCAAAAGATTTTTTTATATTATGCTACAGAATTATAAGAGGTAATTAGCCTACATGTATTTATTAAGGATTAGTTCATTAATCATGTTTCTTTTTTTGCAAAATAATTCATTATTCATATTATTACATAAATTAGATTTACATATTTTCAATTAATGTATTATTTACTTTGCCAACAAGAATATTAACTCACTAATCACTTGGAATACATTACAAATATACTGCAGATTGAAGTTAAAAAAAAAAAAAACAATTTCCAATGAAAACAAAAATAACCACTACACAGAAAACTTGGAATGAGTCATTATGTTCCTTGAATTTATATATAAGTATTTTATTTTTTTATTGAACTTCGATTACCTTTTTATTATGTAGAAAGTAGGACTGTATTATCTTGCAAAGTACTAACTTTCTGCTTCATATATTTCTCATTGGTTTTGATTTTATATCATATATGGCTCCGGTTTTCTAGCTAAGTGCCTATTTTTTAATCTTATGATTCATACCCACCTACATGATATTTCTCATTCGTATTTTTGACGTAATTCGCCCACTCATTCTACGAGCATGTTTTGAAGTTTATGAGCAACGCTGACATCAGCATGAATTTGAGCGTCCTCTGTGACTAGGATAAATTGTATTGGAGATGGTGTAAAACGTCAATTTCTTTATTGTTCTCTTGCGAGTGCCTGTTGGGGGTTTCAAATCTCAAACTGCTAATTACGAATGCATTTTAATTAAATGTTTTCACTTAAGTGTGTCAAGATTATGCGGATTTCATGGCATTAGAATCTAAAATCAGTGGATTTAAACCGATGATTAAAATAATAATTATAATTAACAGCTGATGTTTTCTTTGTATCTTCAATTTGCGATGCAAGTGTGAATGAAATAGTGAATGAAATATTGAGCGATGATATTAAACGGATGATTGGAAGTTGGCGGTTGCATACAATACGTTCAACGAACAACGTAGAGATATCGGTCACAACTATTGCTCACATTTGTCCGTGAAACTAACAACAATTAATGTATTTTTTATAGTTAGTCGCTGAGATAGAACATCCACATCATTTCACAGTTGGCGAGTTATGAATTTCCTGGGACAAATTGATAACATTTTATGATGTGTATCGTTGTTTAAATTTCTAATTTTTACGAATATAGTATGACGCACGCTAAACAAAAAGAGCAATTATATAAAACAATAAAATCTTGCTATTTTACTAAATCACCATTTTCATCTAAATGGTATTTTTTACATGCAATCTTTTGAATTTAACTGTTGAAAGTGTAAAATAGAACATGGATGCATGGAATAAAATATTGAGTAGTGTGTGTACACACACACACATGTATATGTATATATATATATATATATATATATACATGTGTGTGTGTAAATGTAATTTAAATGCTGAAAGTGTGCTTTAGATTTATGTAAGAAATATATATAACCTCATTTTTGGAGATTACAGTAGGCAAGAAAAGGCAATCACAACAGATTTTATCTGATCAGACATTGTCGAATAATGTGTACTTGTTTCCATCTAATGTGACCAAACCATTTGTTACAAAAGCCTAATCCAGGCCTATATCCAGGAGGGTGCAATGGGTGCATCACCCATTTTCTGAAATTTAATCTAAATTATATTAACCCAAATGTTGTTGCTAAACTGATCAATCGGCCATATTTTTTTTTGGTCACATGCATAACTTAACGCTGATCAACGCATTCTGATTATGTTAATTTTCATTGTCAACGAAGTCTATTTTATGAACCAGTCGAATGAAAATAATACTCAACGAAAATTTGTACTCAACGAAATGAACCAGTCGAATAAGCCCATTGATTTATTAAATACTAGTGGTCCGTTGGTTAAGCCTCGTGCTGAGATTTATTTCCCAGTAAAAAATCACATAGGCTGTATAGTAGATTAAGAGAACAATAAAATATTATTAAAAAATCAACATAATAGCAAGGGTATATAGCAGCTAGGTCTGGTTGAGTAGAAACTGAAACCTAAATGTGAATGAAAAGTAATCAATCATAATGGAATCAATAACACTAACAATAGTTACTTTTAAAATCCGGTTTGACAATTAAATTTGATGGAAAGTTAAGATTGTACAATTTATGTATTCAGATTGTTCATCACAAGAAGCCAAAGAATAGCATCATTTTAATTCATGTTGAAAACGTAATTCCAAGATTTCTATTAATAATCGCTCTTCTTTGTTTAGCTGTATATAATCGAAAACAATACAATTCAATAGGCGTATTGAAATTGTGTAGTTGTATAAAAGTAGGTTAACAGTTACCTATCAACTGAAAATTTGAAGTCTATTAACCAGAATCTATTAACCATAAGCCTGAAAGCACTGCACAGTAGGTCTCCTATAAAATGCCCCGGAAATTAATGACCACGTTTCTGTGGGCCCAAGTTAACCAATGTCTTTTATCGTCATTATTTTCACTAGAGACCAAAAGTAAAGACCGTGGAACTCTCGGTCCCAAGACTAGTCTTTAATTGGAGGGAGACCTTATATATTTTCAGTATTCTTAGTTGTGGATGAATATTTAAGTCTGTAAATTAGAAAAAAAAAAAAAAACAGATTTTTTTTTCTATTTGTGTTGATTATGGTCTGTTTTATTAGCAAATCAATTTCTATTATTCAAATCTTTATTTGAATTTTACTAGTTACTGTAAATGTATACGCTCAAAAGTGCAAATTCATTGTGAAATTCTTTTTTGGCACTTCGCCAACAAGACGACTAAATTGATGGAGGTATATTAAAAAAAAAAGAAATGATTATTAATTTGGGAATAAAGAACATATATTGTCCAATTTCTCAACCAGAGGAAGCATGAATTTATATCTCATGTCTCAAACAATGGCTACATTTAAATCATACAAAATTAGTTGGAAATTGATATTCTGTTCTTAATGAAATTAGATCCATTCTAGGGTAATTAGATAAGTTTGTTCAAATGATGTATCCAGAATTTTGAATCAGTTCTTTCGCATTTATAAACAATCATTGTCGGTTTGTTGTATATATTTTTCCCGATTGTTCTTGTACACAATTATCAATCTCACTTTCACAATGGAAACGATCCGCATCGTTATTGATTTATTGATCTGGGGTTGTACGACTACTATAAATAAGTCAAACTCTATGATGTGGGAACACATTGTAATTGCATGTATAAATATGGCTAGCCTGGGCTGGCTGGCTGGCTTTGCTTCAAGGCGAGATTTTTTTAATTCCTTGCTTAGCAAACTTATTTTTGTAAAGATCATCAGAGAAGAGGGGAAAAAAAATTGTTTTCTTTAATAAGCAAAATTATTTTCCCAAAAGCATCTAGGCGGAGGAGAAAATGAAAATAAAATTGTATTGATTAATGTAAACAGAATAGTAATGAGATTGATAAACGCTTTAAATATATGTAATTAAGAAAGAAATATATATATTCTTATTTTTGGAGATTTCAGGGAAGCGGAGGACTCAGTAAAATTAAAATGAAAACATTTATTTTTTTTCCTGAAATGTACATTTTTTGTGGTGGAGGGTGTATTAACTGGCCAAAAATAAAAATTTAAATATTCAAAATTACCATTATTGGTGTCGGAGAGTTCGCTAAAAAAAAAAAAAAAGGCCAGCGTCAGTCTTAATAGATTATGCAGTAAACATAATGTTCACACACACAATGCTGTTTTACGGAAAGATATTGGCATACTGTAGTTAGATAGACATTAGTTAATGTTAATTAATATTATTGAATTCGCTAAACAGATATATTTAAATAAGGCGGCTAGTCTTGAAGCCCCGCCCAGTCTATCGCATTTTAATTGACCAAAACATGTGACATGCCTAAATATGGTCATGATGACATCACATCATGGCCATATATAGGACATCATGACTATATATGGGCATACAACAGTTTTTTGTCAAAGAAAATTTGACAGTCTGAGCAGAGATTAAGGAATACGTAATTGACACCCACACATCCAGGAGAAAAACTCTCTCATTTGGTATTCAAATAAAAGATGCTCCCAAACAGATAATTGATCATACAAATGACAAAGGCTGAGTTGTTTATTTTAAAATGTTCGTTGGTAATTTTTAATTTAAAGTCTATAGTACTTTGAATTTGACTTGTAATAATACTGTAGTATAGGAAACTTAGAAAATTAGTATCCAATGAATTGATGTAATATTTTGTTTTTTATGGGAGGGGGGGGGAGAAGTATG